CATATTTAGTGTTGAAAGAGAGCAATTCTATTCTTCAATTAAAGTAAAATTTGTTTTGAACGAAGAATATATTTTGTATTTGTTTTAAGAATAATATATTCTTAATTGGAGATTATTTATTCTTGGCGTTATTTTAAGCATAAAATATTTTTGAATCAAGGCATATTTGCATTTCTTTAAGAATTTATTTTTTTGTGTGTACGGCAAAGATTATTACTTTTATTCGAACATAAGTTTTAATAACTTAAATTAATAAATTTTAATATTTGAATAAATAAAATTTATTATTTTTTTACAGAAATGCAGAATGATTTTTTGAAATTCGCGTTAAGCGTTTTAGACAAAATTATAGTAATAAATACAAAAAATAAAAGAAGCTTTTTACTTGAATATACATTGAATTTCATTGAATTCTTGATTCAATTTTGCGTCGTTTGTTCTATTTTAAACTTAAAAATAAAGCACATACATGTAAGTATAATATTTTGATTCATTACAAAAAATGTAAAGCCAAAATATAAAGTTAAAATAATTTCTCAAAATAATTTTTGAGAATATTTATACATACCCTACCAGTAATTATTTTTTATGTCATTGCATGTAATTGATTTTTATCTTATAACAGCGACATAAATTTAAATTCTCGCTATGTATGTAAATAATTCTAGTCGCATGCTTTGATGGTTTAATTTACAATTATCTCGGTCTGTAAAAAAATATTCAAAGCTATGAGAGATCTTTGACGTGTTTTAAGTAAATTAATTTTTCAGATAAATGGAAATTTATCTGGAAGATATTACGTTTAGCGAAATTTTGATGCTCGGCGGGTCTTTATGTTATGAGTTAATTACAAAATTATATCGCTCGGAGCTTGCGCAATGGGCACTACATCATCAAAAAAAGAAGCTTTCGGATTGTCCCTTTCTCTTGTAGTATTCATTGAATACAATAAGTCTGAAAATCCGTGTGCTTCGCGATACTCCTTGCATGATCGATTCAACGAATTGCTTCGCAGAGGAAGGGAGAGGCAGGAGAGCGGGTATTTTTCGCTCTGTTTTTTCTGTTTTGAATTGGCGGTGTGTCTAACATAAGAATTTCAAATAAAGCGCTTATGGTAGCGCTATTACATTTTGCGCAATCAAGTAACACGCGATTATGACTTTTTGCTACGTCGCAGTCGCGCCGCTGCCGCGTCTCTTGATATTTGGGTGGATGGGGGAAGGAATCAGGCGAGGTTTCGTGTCTTTAGCATGCAAGCATAACCATTTTACGTTCTTCATAAGTACTCTCGCTTCTCCCGCGTGGTCATCCGTTACATCATGATACATGTTATTTAATATCATTCTCTTGTAATATCGCACGTAATCGTCATGGTACACATCAACGATTTGGCCGTTGTTATTCTCACAAGGACCTTTGGCGTGTTCTAGCGTAATTTTATATTGTTTGCTCAAACGAGCCCTCACGTGCTTGGGCAAAGGCAACTGTAATACAACGCGTTTGCTGGTCTCGTTAATGTAATTAACGACATTTCTCTCTTCGTCGACAATTACGGAAATTCCATGAATCTTACCACGAAATCGATCGACGTATAATAGTTTACTTTTCAAATCCACTACGTCGACGTAGTTTTGCAATCGAGTAGACGCGTTAGCGAGATCATCTACGCCATGTGTGCCATATCTGAAACGTATACGACGGTCGGATCGTATTGAGAATGTTAAAAAAATTTCGATTTTCTTTTTGCTAACCGAGAGAATTGTCACTTAATATTTCTTGGTTTTGAAGTCGTAGGTAGGGTGAGTAATAACGCTTTTCATGTCGCGGTGTAGCAGATAACGTACGCAGGTAATCGTATAATTCGCCAGCTGGAATCTTTCGCGATGGATATACCCTTAATATCGAAGTATATCCTAACAATATCGAAAATAATGCATAGAGAAGACAATACGTAAGAAATATGCAATATACGGATCTAATCATGTCTGCTTACTCTTTTGTTCCTTCGAGTATTTGCAGACAATGAAATTTCTGCCGATATTTATAGAAAGTAAGTATCCTTTTGTACTTTCAATTAATTATATTATGTAAATACAAAAATATTTACTTTTTCACATTATATAGTATTGAAAACTAACATCTCGTAAAAATATTGCGAATTTTACAAAATAACAAAAAATTTTTAATTCGGTTTAGTCCGTTTCATTTACTCTGAGCGGTGATACACCTATCAAGAGACACCCTGTATATACCCATACAGGGTCGCCAGTAGTTACAATGA